ACTGAAATGAAGAATGTTATTTCCATGCACAGCTTTAGGAAATCTATTATTTAAATATTCTGTATAATTCTTGAGTTTGCAATTCAAAAATAAAACCAAAGGGTTCAAGAAAAGTTCTCCATAAATTGTCTAATATCTTGCAACTTCTTTTACAGTATGGTTCTAGAGACTTTTATGATTTTTCTAGAAAGAAATGAACTTTGTTTCTCTACACACAAATTTGAGGAGAAAATTTCTGATATTAGAGAGCTTTTTTGTATGACAGACAAAAGTATAGAAAATGCATTTCAAGTTAAACTAGACAAATTCCAGTTAAATATCCTTTTAATAATTAAATTAACAGTTGCACCAGCTTATTTAGCAAATTAATTTTTTAATGGAGTCTACGTAACATGAAGCCTTTAACATGAATCTGAGGGGTTGTTTTGTTGGGTTTTATTTTTGGTATTTTTTCACTTCAGCTTCCAGATGTTATAAATGCAGTGAAAGTCTGACAACTGTGTCATTTGGATCAGTCTAGGTGATAACATTAAAAACAAAGATTATTTCCTGTCTCCAGTGTGGAACTGAACTTTCACAGGAAACCTCAGTGACATTAAAAAAGGGAGGACAGGGTCCTGTCTCCCTCACCTTTGTGCATATGCACATTGGATCAGGAGATTCTAACAAAGAACAAGAAGGGTCCTTTTCCTCTCACTCCAGCTAGCACTGATCTTCCCACAGGATTTTAACTGTCAAAAGCCCAGATATTATCACATCAGAGGAAAGACATTTGCAGGAGGCACTCCTGAAGTCTCCAGTGCCCAAAGGGTTTCCCAGGGCTCCTGTCAAGATGCCCTGGCAGAGCGCTTATGAGAGACAGCGCATTAGAGGAGGACAAGTTGGACATGGCTCTTGCAAAGCTCAAGCACCACTCAGGAGCCCTCAGATCTCAAAGTCTGCTCCAGACGGAGGAGGAGCCTGGCTGGATCTCCGTGACCCAATTATGGACCACATACTTCTAAGAATAACTTCCACATCAAGCAAGGAGAATTTTCTTCTCTCATCCCCATAACCATATCCTTTACCCTCATTACACTTTTATTAAGACATCCCTCAGCATAAATGCCAAATAAACCTTTCAGATACTTGAATTTCTTCAGCATGCACACAACATGTGTGTGTTTCCCTATCTCAGACAATGCAGAGCAGACACAAAGAGGAGCCCTCTTGATAGGATGGATGCCCAAAGAAGCAGAGACCAGGGGAAAAACAGCAGAATAGAAGAGAGAAGCATGAGGACAAAAGCTCCAACCTTTATAACCGTGGGCTGTTCACTGAGACAAAAATACTGCAGCAAAACGAGCAAGGTCAAACATCATTTCCCCTCATCTGATAAAGATGACTGAGGAAGTTTGAATTCATAAAAGGCACAAGCACATCACACACCCTGGAAAGACAATCCTACCAGCCTTTGTTCAAAGCAGGAATCCCTACACAAATAAATCAGATTTTCAAGGGAGGCAGAAATAGGGCTTGTAACAAAATTTTTCAGCCGCCCCTTAGCTCGAGCAGCACTAGTGGGCATAGCTATAATCACAGCAAACCTACATAATGGGTCTGAACTAGCTTAGCCCTTTCCCTGCAAGCAGAGAAGCTGCCACATCAGTAACTCCGTTGCTAGGGCAACTGCTTACTTTCCATATCAACTGCAAACTCGTTGCTATGGAGACACATATACAAGAAAAATTCCTCTCTACAGCCAAGGACCAGATGGTAGGGAAGTCATGGACTAACGGGCTGTACTAAGTGGGACACAGACTACAGGACATTTAGATCTGTACGTCCACAATAGGATTAATCTGAACAAGTGAATTCACAGGTCTGGCAGTATAAACAAAGCCAGGGAACTCCACATCTACTCCCCATCATGTGATAACTTCATACTCTGGCCAACTATTATTAAACTGCTGAGCTCAATGCAAAGAGGTTTGTACAATCAAGGGCTCAGCATTTTCCCTTCTTCAGCCCAGTGCTCTGTCTCAATCCAGATCAGCCTCGTTGTCAGTTCCATGAACAGCCAGGCTCATGGTTTGCCAGGTAAGCCTGATGGCACTGCAGCTGATGTGGAAGAGCAGCAATGTAAAATCAAATCCTCTCTTCCACATTCCGCACCAGACCTAAAAGCACCAGGATAGGGCAAGTACAAAAAAAAAGTGATGAATCCTGCCCTTTTTTTCCCCCTCTCCATTACAATGATCTCACATCAGGAAATTCAAGAATTCATATGCAGGCAGAAAAAGCTGCAGACTACTAGATTCATATTTAGCCCCATGAATATAAACTAGTGGAACTCAAGACTGAGAAAACTACTATGCAGAGGGAGTTCAAAAAAGAATTAAGTGTTCAGCAGAACTTTTTTTAGAAAAATGATTACTGAAAGGCTACATAAACAAACACTGGAAAGCACAACTATGAGAGGAAAAGCTTCTAGCTTTTCACAATGTGTCAATGCACATCAACCGGCAAATGCCTGCAATTCCCAGCACTAACTCCTTCCCCCCATACTGTACATGTTTCAGAGCCCATCTTGTAAGCATTTCATAACATGCCATTTGCTAAATGCTGGTGTTTTTTTTTTTTTTTTTTTCACGTAAAACCAATAAAACAGGCAGACCCCAACGCTGCAATTTGCAAAAACTGTCTGCAAAGGATAAGTAGTATAAAATGATTCCTTACAGCCCTCCTTTCCCCTGCCCCAAGCCCCATACCAAAACCAGAGAACCCTTTAGATGGACACCCTCTGAACAGCAAAGATATTTGCTGCAAGGTACCAAATCAAGTCCAAGTGTGTGCGCACACACATAAAGGTATTTTCAAAGCCATCAGCTGACATTTACTGCTTTCCAAGTCCGAAATTAGCTGTCAAGCACCTGATTCAGCAACTCTGACCCAGGGCCAATTCTGCACTCAGAACTCTGTCTACCACATCCCTTGGCCAGGACACGAAGAAAAACCCAGCAGGGGACTTGAACGACCTGCTATGGTGCATTTTACATTTGAGATTCCCTTTTCATTCACCTTAAAGCTAGCTACCTGCAGTTATTAGCATCTTCAGGAAGCAGAAGAAATTCTTTCTAAAAATCTATGATTTTCCTGGAATTAATAAAACTCCACCTTGTGATTCATTCAGGCAAGGCCTCCCACCACACCTTGTTGTCTAGCTATGTAACCATGGCCGTAATCACGAATTTGAGACGTGGGTGACCAGTCATGCATTGTGCTGCGCCACGTCCCCACGGAGCAGCAGTGCAGCGTAGTATTGTTCAGATGAGCCCAGTGGATGGCCAGATATTTGACAGATAGACATGAAAACAAGTTCCTCATAGCAGGAAGCTGAAATCCAAATAGTCAACTTGTAAACAGAGGAAGAGGATCAGAACAAAACACAAATGGCTGAGTTAAACACACGCCTTGCCAATTACCATATTTTGGTGTTTTTTTAAATGCATTGTATGAAGATTTCTTAGAGTCTGGACAGAGTCATAAAAGTCTGTTGTAGCATTGTTATTACAGTCTCACTTCCAAACCAGAATTTAAAACTCTGGCTTACACAAAACAAGATCCAGTTTGGGAAAAGATTTTTTTTCATCTCACACATGAGCTTTCACAGCAATTAATTGATAAAAATACAAATATACAGTGTGTGATCAGCAATATGGGGACAGTGGATTCTAAGTAATAATACTTTTTAAAAAGAAAGAAGAGAAAGATAGACACGTCAATCCTTTAAAAATGAAAGCTCTGTAGTAAAGAAAGTTAACTCATCAAAAATGAAAAGTTGCTAGTTTACAATAGTGTATGACTCTTCCTCTAGAGTTACTTGAGCTTCTATTCCAGAACTTTTGAAGTTAAATTGCACACAAAATAGGGAGAACAGCACCACCAAGAGAAGTCTAGTTTCAGGGTAACAAGTTACAAGACAATCAAAGCATTTAATTCACTGAAATACAAAAGCTGAGTTCTGCCAGGGGAAAGTGTTCACTTTCTGATCTTCAGCCAATTTTAGAGACAGATCATGAGTGATGTGATTTTACCTGCTATTTATTTCCCTAAGCCGTGAGAAGGCCTCTGAAATTAATCTGCAAGCTGGTATTTTTATCAGGATACTCGTACTTTGCCAAAGATTCATCCAGTCCACTGCTTCTTCAGAAGGTCCCCTTTGGAAATTGATTCCTGCTCCCAGGCAGACTGACAGAGTAAAAGGCTATGCAAGGGACTGCCTCCACCACTCCACTCACTTTCCCATTCCCTTGCCTCTTCCTACAGATGCTGCTGGAGAATCAGCAGTGAAGTATGGGGACAACAACCAAGACCAGAAAGCAAAGATGTGCTCCCAGGGCTTCTGCTCTACACCAGTTGCAGAAGTTATTTGAGCTCAAAGAATGTCAGAAATTTTGGTGACTGGTAACCTTCACCTTTGATCCCAGACCTGCCTCCACTCTTTGAAGAGTTTCTCTAAAACTCGACTGAAAAGGAACAAAGTTTCATCACCATTACCCTCCTTGTATAAAAGAAAGGTTTTTTTTTAATTACAACACAGACCAGGGCAATAACGATGGACTCTTACATAAGGCATACCCTTTCACTATACATTTGTATAAGCCAAGAACAGCAAGCAGCCTATTTATAACATGATTACATTCATCTAGTATAGCTGGAAACCATTACCACAGCATGATAACTAAAAACAATATTTAACCACTATGCATGAAGACACCAGCTGGAGGGAAAAAACACACACACACACACACACCCAACACTTTCTTACAGATGTCTAGACAATTAATTGAATAAAATCAGAATGAGCAATGCTAAAGAAATGTTGGCTCTCTGAACTTAATCAACTACATTACCAGGCGCAGGGTTACACATTCTATACTTCACTGTTAAGGACATATTCTGGGATTAGCAGGTGAATATTTTCGGAGCCAGAGAGGTTCCCATAGTTCCAAACTCACCTGACTTCGGTCTTTGTCCACTTTCTTAAAACACTTATTCAAGGACAGATTATGTCTCACAGAATTTTTCCATCCAGTGGGTGCATTTGCAAAATATGGAAAGTGTTCCAAGATCCAGTTGTATATATCCTTTACAGGCAGTCTTTTGGTTGGCGAATCCTCAATGGCCATAAATATGAGGCAGCTAAAGGAATAAGGAGGTTTGCAGTTGGGGTTCTGCTTGGCATCGTAGGGCATGTCGGAGTGGGCAGGAGACGGCGGCGTGTCATCACCGATGTCCTGAACAGGGCTAACGCTCCTTAACACTGAGTCCCCAAAGCTTTTCAGCAAGTTCTTGCTCTCATGTAACCAGTTCAAATTAGTTAGTTCTTCATCTTCCATGGCCCCTTTATCTAATCTGATGGCAGGCAAAGAAAAATCTAGGTCCTCGTCATCATGAAGTGCCTTTGATAAATCACTATCTTGATAACGCTGGCTCAATCCACTGGGAACACTAATTCCTGAGCCCTCTGGCTTCTTACTGGGAGGCATGACTGGACCCATTTAGACAGCAGTTCCTGGCAGAGTGAATCCAAAGAAAAGAGAGAAAGAGAGAAAAGTTAGCTCATAAAAAGTGCCTGTGTAACAATTTGACAGCTTTTCCCTAACTGGTCACTTGGCTTTTGCCATCTGTATTGAACACGACAGCTTCACATAACACACATCCACAACTGTTGAATAAAATTATTTAAAGTCAGTACAAGGGAAGAAATTTCAGTAGATTGAATAAGATCCAGATACACCTCAGTTCTGCATGCACATGAAGCCCCACACAGGAAATTCCAAACCATGTCTCTTTAAAGAGGAAGAGGTGTTTTCAAACCATTGAATACCACAATTGTATCACTTTAATAAGGATATGAATTTAAAAAATAGTAAGAGTGACATATGGCCAGTTGCTTCAGATTTTCAATATCAGCTGTTTCACATTTGAGGACAATACAACAGCACCACACTGGAAAAAGGCATAGGCAGAAAAATATCCATACTGACTTGGCTGCACCAAAACACAGAAATAAGAGCAGAACTTCAAAACCAGCAAAGTCAGGAGAAAGGAGGAGGGAAAGCAACACCTGGTTGTTTTGGGGCCAGGGCCAAAAAATGGGGAGGCAAATGCCAGAGCACAAGAGCACTTTAAAAATGTATGTAAACAGAGAAGATTTTAGCATAAACTGAACTTATTTCAAACACAGGAGAAAAAAAGAGTCAGAAAGACCACTGTGATGCTCAACAATGGCTTGTGAGAGGTGGGGTGAGCTGCGGAGGGTACTGCACCAGCAGGCCCTGGGGGGACACCTGTGAGCACTAATGCTTGGCATGACCTGAGCACTTCCGAAGCAAAGTGAAGCTGGGACCCTGCCCAATTCGAGAGAAGCAGATGAGCCCAACAATTCTACTTCAGAAGCAGGAGACAGGCTCCCTTAGCTCCTACAAACAGTCAAACTGCCAGGAATTAGCTCTGGAGATGTGAACAGAAGTGGAACAAAAATTGGACTGAGTTAATAACAGAATTTAAATGGACGAAATGTTCCACACAAACACTGAACAAGAACGAAATTATTCCCTGTACCTAAAACATAACCCCAGCAGTTACCTGAACTCATGCAGTCACAGAGTCGATACCATAAATTAAAGGCAAAAAAAGCTACAGGTAACAACAGAATGAACTATCTGTCTGCAGGGACAAATAGAGCAACACACCCATTATGGGAAAAAGAAATAATGGACTTTAATTTAGCTGTCCTAAATGGCCAAAACCGAAAACTTTTAAGTTCTTTGGGTCTTTCTATAATGAAGTTACACCAAAGGAGATATTTACTTAAACTGAAACACAGAGAACTTTTCTGCACGGAAGCACATCAATACACTCAACATCTTCAGTGAAAATGTGCAGTTTTACATGAGTAAGTATCTGGAAAAGGAAAAAATACCGAGGCAGATGTAAACACCAGGAGGCCAAACTTGCGTCGGCCCCACTTCCTAGTTTTCAAAACTGCATCCAGCCCAAGCAGAAGGTAAACAAGGGGATCGGCAGCGTCCAGGGGCACTGGCATTGCATACCTAAGCCTCACACTTAACTTGGACTCCAAATGGAAGTTCCGTCCCATGAGCTTCTAAACAGGAAAATTATATGATGGCTGACAGTAAAGTAATTTAATTGCACTGTTGCTATGACAACACGCTGCTCTCTTTCTGTTTAATTTCCTTATTTGCCAGTATCCTCCCAAAGGGCCGTATCACTTCATGATTTTTTTCCCGTCTCTCTCTCTCCCCCCGCTCCAGGCAGCGGGGGTGACCGGGCGGCCGCGGCCCCGCGGAGCCCCCTCGGGCGGGCGCGGAAGTCCGGCGGCGCCCGCCCGAAGAGCGGCTCCCAGCGGGGCCGAGCGGCCGGGCGCGGTGCCCGGGGCAGTCCCCGCGGCGGCGGGGCCCGACTGGGGCCACAACGGGGGGGCACGGGGGGGCTGCCAGCGAGGCCCGCGGCAGCTGCAGCGGCGCGCCGCCGGCAGACAAAAGCGCGCCGGTGCCGCCGAGCGCCGTTTGACCCGCACGGACGCGTCCGGCGCGCGGCGGCTCCGGCGGCGCGCCCCGCACACGCGCCCGCCGCGGCCGGAGGGGGGCGCGCCGGGGCGGGCCCCCCGCCCGCGCTCCCACCGCACCCCCCGCGAGAGGGGGCGGGCGCCCATTGGCCGCGGCCGCAGCCAATCAATGGCGTTGCCAGGCGACCGGGGCTGCTCGGGCCGGGCGGCGCGCGCCGCGCGCCCCGCCAATGCCGGCCAGGTGTCACCGGCCCGCGCGGCCCCGCGCGCCCCGCCGCACGTGCGCGTGCGTGCCCCGGGGCCCTCGCCCAGGCGCTGCCGGGACCCCCGGCGGGACGAGCTCGCGCCGGGCGCGGCCCCGCGGCGCGGGCACGGCCGGGGCTCGGCGGGGTCACGGCGGCGCGCACGCCGGGCCGCGCACCAACTCCCGACCAAGTTGTGGCGCGGGGCCGGGCCGAGCCGGGCGGGACCGCACCGCGCCGCTGCCCGCGGCCGGCCCGCACCGCCCCGCGCAACCCCCGCCAACAACAACGGCAACAACGGCAGCAACTTACCTGGCGGGGGGCGGCGGTTTCACCGCGGTCCCTTCATGGCAGTGGCACAAAGTTTCATCTGACGGAGCCAGGCATGGCGCGCCCCCGCCTCAGCCCGAGCCCCGGGGGTGCCGCGGGGGTCCCGGCGCACGGGGCTCCGCCGCCTGCATGGGGCCCGGCTGCCCCGCGCCCGCCCCGCGCTCCCGACGGGCAGCGGTCCGCCTCGGTGCGAGCCCGAGAGCGAGAAATTGTTTCCACTGCAAACAAAAAAGGCGACACATGACCACGGAGGGAGGGGAGAGAGGGAAAACGTGGGCTGGGCCAGCCGCGCCGGGAGAAGCCGCGGAAGGGAGGGCCGCCGGCGCTGGGGGAGGGCGGTGGTTCCCGCCGGCCGGCGGCGGGGACCCGGCCGTGCCCCCCGCACGGCGCTCGCCCGCCCGCGCCCCGCCCGGCGCCCGGGCCGTGCCGGGCCGGCGGCGCCGGCCGGGGCCGGGCGGCTGTCCGAGCTCGGCGGGAGGAGCTGGGGAAGTCCCGATACGCAGAGAACCGGCAGCCGCGGCGCTCCCACTTGTGCGAGTCTCCTTTCCCCCCGCCCGGCCAGGCCGACCCCGGCTGAACCGCGAAGGCACTGACGAGCCCCGGGAGCCCACGGCTTAGCATAGCGGAACCCTGCTTCTACCTCTCCCGCAAGAGGAGCGGGGGAGGCATCTCTCAACACCTCCCAGTGGGCAGGTAATTCCTGCCGAAAACGGGCGAGCCCGCCGGCCGGAGCCAGGCACCTGCCCCGCTGTGTGAGCGGGAGCCGGGCCCTGCGGGCAGCGGCAGGCGCGGGATCCCGCCCGGCGGCTCCGCCGCTGGCTCCGGGCATCGGGAACCTACGGCCACTGCTGTGTGTGCGGGGCGCAGTAAAGAACCGTGTTGCAGAATCTGCAGTAACTGCCGATGGGGGGGATATTTCCTGAAGGAAATCTGCTTTAAAAAAAGGCTTGACTCAGTTAGGAAATATGGTGCATTTTCTCCTCTGCTATCATACGCTGACATGACTAGTATTAACTTGAGTAAAAAATCCTTGCCATGAGTTGAATTAATTGAAGGGAACTAACTTGATTTAAAAATACAGAAGTTGTCCAATCTAGACAGCACTAGCTGAACGTACAGTCTCCTATATGTTACATGCCAGATCACAAGTAGCTTCAGTGATTTGCAGCACAAAATTAAAGTATGGCTGTCTACCCGCAAAACAAGTACATGGAACTGTTTTGTAGCTGGTCCACAAAAATCAAACATTTTCTGCTCTGGGTAAACAATTCTTGCAGATTTGGCATACTATAAAATATAGTCTCCTTCCACTAGCAAATGCCTGCTGCAAAAATGTATAATATCACTTAAGTCAGAAATACAGGTATCCCTCCCAGTGCAGTCCTCCCTGGACACATAAATTGTCACTAAGCTAGGAAGGAAAACGTTTTAGTTGTTTTATTTAGAAATGTTAGAACAGCTGCCTCAAGACCTTTAGGGAATTTTGCATTATTTCCCAATGGATGGGTTACCTCCTTTAATCTGTTTAACACTCACAAAATTCCCAGTTTTAGGTAAGAGTGGCAAGCACCTCATTCTCAAAGTGCAGGGGTAAGAACCATTTCATTGATTCGCTGGAACTAGAAATTCCTGTCATAACTGGCTAAGACTTCTTTTGCCGATAGCTTTCCCTCCCCTACCCAGTGAACTGCTATTTCACATTCTTGCATATTTGCAAGAAGACACACCAGCAGCTGAATTGCAGAATGGGAAGAATACCTATCAGGCAGCAGAGTATCATCGTTACCCACTGGCAATCCTACCCTGTGACTCCACCAGCCCTAACACTCCAACAGTCAGCAGGACCATTAGTTTACAGTTCTTATCTCATGGCCGTTTGGTTTCAAACCCAAACTAAATTATCAAGTCATAACTCCGCCCACCTGAATTTACTCCAAATGCTTCAGACATTTTTCTGAGTGAATCAACATGCCTCTTTATTGGCAAGCAAGGAGATTTACTGCATTTATTATCACTTATAAAAGTCAAGTGTCTTGAAAGACTACCAAGAAGAATTCAGCTAATGAGAAGTATTTCTGAAGTGAGAAGGGGGAAGCCTCATGAGATGCAGGGTAGTATGCAAAGAAAATTAGACCCTGAATACATTATGTATGCATCCTATTCAGCTCAGTTCTGTTCAGAATTAGAGGCCAAATTCCCCATGAATATTGGTGGAATACGATCCGTTTCAGAGTTTTCTGGTTTTTCCATGGCAGGTAGGAATTTCCCCAGAGTGCACACTAGAGATTGCATTGAAGGGCCACAGTGAGACGTTTGCTGTGTGGACAGAAAAGCCGTCGTGATCAAGCACAGGGGCCAGCAGCAGGTGGCGGAGGAGGTTAGAAGAGCAGGGGACACACTGCCCGCTGGGTCAGAGGGCTGCCACACGCTCCCCGCTGAGGTGTCCCTTGAGAGGCAGCAGCGCGGGGCAGCCTCTTGCTGGCTCCCACTTACCCCTGAGCTCAACAGCAACAGCTGGTGACCTGCAGAGCACTAAAATACCAGCAACAGTGTAAACACTACTAGCTTGCCTCTTGGGGAGACTGACGCTGACACTTTGCTGGAATACCTGATACAACTAATTTAAGAAAGGAGCACACAGTGTCATGCAGCTCCATTGAAACAGCATTAACTGCTGGCTTAGAGACTACAGCAGCAGCAGAACAACTAATGTATGGCCATCAAGTAACTCAATACTCATTGTAATCTCAGGCAAGCCCCCAAATTTATTAATGTGTTGATTTCCCCATTTCTGAGGCAGCAATAATACTAATTCATTTAGCATAAGATTTGCAACACTGATAGATGAAACTGTTTGTACATCAAGACCAAAGTACTTGCCGCACTGAAGGCTGATTAGAAGTTCCAACAGTGCAGAGCTGCACTTTAGCCTTGTGGGCTAATATACAACAGCCTAATCTTTCCACTCAGATTTCAGAATACCAACTGCAGATGTTGCAGTATCTTATTTAATGAGGATTTCCAGCCATCTCTCTATACTCCTTTATCTCTTATCCTCTTCTAGATTGGAATCCCTGAAAATTTCCCACAAGCCATCGAGCACACAAGCACAGCAAGGGTCATGGGCTCATCTTCTCCCCTCAATCTCCGTCTCTGCTGGGAACATCTTTCTTTGCTAGTATTATGACCATGTGTCGTGGTTTAACCCCAGATAGCAACTAAATACCACACAGTCATTTGCTCCCCTGCCACACACACAGAGTGAGGAGAGGAATCAGAATAAAGAAAAACAAACAAACAAACAAAACCCCCTTAACTCTTGGGTAGAGATAGGAATAGTTAAATAATTAAAAAAAAAAAAAAAAAAAAAAAAAAAAAAAAAAAAAAGAAAATATGATGATGATAGTAATAGTAAGAGACAGAAAGAGGAATAACACCCAAGAGGAACAAATAATGCACAATACATTTGCTCACCACCTGCTGACAGATGCCCTGTTCATCCCTAAGAAATAATTGGCCCCTCCTAGTCAATTCCCCCACAGTTTATGTACTGGGCATGATGCTCTATGGTATGGAAAATTCCTTTGACTAGTTCAGGCCCCCTGTCCTGGCCATGCTCCCTCCCGGCTTCTTGTGCACGACTCACTGTCAGAGCACAGGAAACTGAAAAGTCCTTAACTTAGGGCAAGCACTACACAGCAATGACTAAAACATCACTGTGGTATCAACTTAATTCTCATACTGAATCCAAAAATACAGCACCACTGTCTCAGCTAAAAGCAGGACACCATGTCACATAACCTTGTTAAATATTTCTACTTTCTGCCTTCTGGCCTCACCTGCCACACTTCAAGAGTCCTGCACTATTTATCCTCACCTTTAAGCTCCTCTTCCTAACTTGGTCTCTAATTACCATATCTTTATTGACTGGTGTCCTTGTCAATGTTTATTCTCTCTACATCAGAGTCAGATTTCTTCCCCGAAGTCTGCTGCAAGTTTGCCATCAAAGCTTGCTCATTAGAATTTAGAATTACACAGCTGTTCCAAAAACCCCTCCTAATTCTTAAGGGTCCTGATGTACTTTCCAAAGAGTGATGTGGACAGGGCTGCTGAGTCTTGCAATCAGACCCCCAGTGTGGGACACAACTCAGGCCCTGACACCTGTACACTGATCATTTCGTTATGTGTCAGTTCTTCCCCCATGCAGAATGGCTGGTGTGTCCTCATCAGTCTTGATAATTCTAATCTTCTGTTTTCTCTGAGGCATGGATTTAATCTTTTACAGAGCACAAGCACATTGGACACCTTCAGGAACTTATAAAAACTAAATCATGAATACAGTGTTTATTCATTTCCGTTTTCACAACTCCTGTTCTCAGCAGTCTTCTCCTGCAGTATCAACACTTCTTTATTTTTAACCACAGCAGACCAGCCTGGTTTTGTTTTTTGCACTATGCCTGCTTTTGGGGCAGACAAACAGCCGTGTCTGAATTCCTGGAACAGTACCAGAACAGTCAGAGTCTCTGCCCTGTACAGAGGTAACACACCTAATGGGCTGACAAATAGTGCCCTGCTGCCCTGAAAGAGAGTACCTCTGGCTTTGCAGCTGCTCTGAGCACAGTCGTACCCTACCTGCCTGTCCCATGGCTTTTGCAAGCATGCCTTCCCATTTCTTCACCCACAGCAAGCACTGAGCTATAAGCTGCATATGCAGGGAAGGCCCAGCGTACTCCAGCTTACCAACAGATCTATCTTTTGCTCATTCACTCAAGAACATGGAATCAGATTTACAAAGCATTTTCCCAACCCTGCATTTAATTAGTCTTCAAGTTCTCATTTTCCCCAGCAGGCAAAACCCAACAGAAACAGAACTGAATCTGTAAGAAAAGGAACACCAATACAAAGCTTTGTCAGAAGTCTAAGGAAACAAAACTATCTATGGTATTTCTGTTTCACAGGCTAAAATAAAATTAATTTCTTCCAATAACATCCACAGTTTTTATTAAATAGCTCCTTTATAAATTAATGTATGCACATTTACGATGTTATCGTAGTAACGCTTGCAGTTTCTAGGAAAATGAGTATACTTAGTGCAAAAATTACATACAACTGAGAAGCTACCAGCAATTGTGTTCCTGTGCATGAGTGTGGTGGGAGGACAGCATCATGCATGCTCATTTGCCCTACATATATTTGTTAAATTGAGTCCATATGAGAGACACTT